TGACGACTTTGTTACCCAATGGAAAGTGTTCTAATATAGACAATGGGTCGTGTCTCATATTATTTGTTATATTTTTATTATTCATTATTTTCACTTGACTCGCATAAATAATTTTGTTCGAAGAACATTTATATGCAGTTGTACTTCGCAGCACTTCACTTGCAATTTGCAATTTCTAGTTACTATGAATATAATAGGGCCTAATTTTGTACCTTGCGGTTCACCGCACGTAATATTAGAGGGATGGAGGTTACATCGTAAATGCGAGTAGTCTGCGATCTCTCGGATAGAAAACTGCATATGGTTGGAATAATAGAGCGATCAATACCCATCTGTATGAGTTTATTTACAACAGTTGTGTGATTTATGTAGTCAAAGGCTTTGCTAAAATCTATTTTGGGCATAGATTTGCATATTTCCATGTATATCTAGGTTTCTCGATGTATCGCGTTTATAAGGCTCAGCTCATAAGGGCCATTTCTAAAATGCGGATTTTGCGGATTCTGCGGATTCAGGTAAAAATAGCATGAAAAAATAGGCCTAATATTACCTAGGCCTACGGTATCATACACGTGTGAGAAATCACCAGCAACCGACTACGGGGTGGGCAAGTCGGAACAAAATTAGGTTCTCAGTCAGTTTTTTTTTTTCATAACTACGGCCAAATTGTAAATTGTAAAGGCTGGCAGCGGCATGCACTAAAACACTGACCACTGACCGCTGACCATATCTTGGGCAATTTGGGTTTCACTTTTCTTTTATCAAAATTAACGATATTTATGAAAGTGTTTATGTTAGTGAAATATATATAGGACCTACTGATGAATTTGCAGCTGAATCTGCAGTCATGTCGCATTGTCGGTCAGCCTTCAACCGTCTTGCGATAATGCTATATAAAAATATATAAATACATTTATATTAAAATCTAATCTATAAGGCCTATCTAATCTAATGATGAGATACAAAATCATCTGATCATCTCTTCTATGGTATGTAGACATGGTGACATCCAGGACCTCGTCATCTAATCATTTTAGAATGTAGAGATGATGGGATCTAGGATCTCGTCACCTGATCATCTCTTCTATGTACGGAAGCTTAAAGTGACCTCCCAGATGTTCAGATGACGAGATCCAGGATCTTCTCAGCTGATCATCTCTTCTAAAGGATGTACACATGACGAGATCTATGATCTCGTCATCTAATCATCTCTTATAAAGGATATACACATGACGAGATCCAGGATCTCGTCTTCTAATTATCTCTTCTAAAGGATGTACACATGACGAGATCCAGGATCTCATCATCTGATCATCTCTTCTAAAGGATGTACACATGACGAGATCCAGGATCTTTTCATCCGATCATCTCTTCTAAAGGATGTACACATGACGAGATGCAGGATCTCGACATCTAATAATCTCTTCTAAAGGATGTACACATGACGAGATCCAGGATCTCATCATCTGATCATCTCTTCTAAAGGATGTACACATGACGAGATCCAGGATCTTTTCATCCGATCATCTCTTCTAAAGGATGTACACATGACGAGATGCAGGATCTCGTCATCTAATAATCTCTTCTAAAGGATGTACACATGACGAAGATCCAGGATCTCGTGATCTAATCATCTCTTCTAAAGGATATAGACATGCGAGATCAAGGATCTCGTCATCTCATCTTCTCTTCTAAAAGATTTAGACATGACGAGATCCGGCATCTCGTCATGTGATCATCTCTTCTGAAGAATGTAGACATGACGAGATCATTTGATCTTCTTTTCTACATGATGTAGGCATGACGAGATAATTATCTAGACATCTGGGATGGCACCTTTAAACTTCCGTACCGTATTTATGAGATGTAGTAGACACGACGAGATCGAGGATCTTGTCATCTAAACATCTGGGAGGCACATGTAAGCTTCCATACAAAAAAAAAAAGTGTCAAACGGTAAGGCCGATTTCAATCAAACTTGGTTAGAAGAGCCTTCTATGCATGTGGTGTTCACAGTTTGGGGTCAAAAGTCACACAGGCGTCATTAGGGTCAAAAACCCAAAATTAATTATAGTCTACTTCTGTAACAAATAACAAAGCAGAGTATAGTCCTTTCCATTATGTATTGGCCTAAGAGAGGCAGGATCTTTATGGTACAGTTCAGAGACTTGGGTCAAAGGTCATTCTTTTTCTGGCAACATTACAAAAAGCTACTAGTGTCAAACAATTGAGTTGATTTCAATCACACTTGGGCAGTAGAGCTGGTGACATCTTATACATTGGGTGTTCACAGCTTGAGGTCAAAGTCATATAGGGGTCTAGATAAAAATCAAAAAAATTAATTAAAGTCTACTTCTTTCACAAATAACATAGCAAAGTTTAGTCTTTATTGAATAGGCCTATGCATTGGCATGAGGCAGGGATTCTGTGGCCAAAGGTCATTAAGGATCATTCTTCTTTCTGACAACATTTTAAAACGCTACTAGTAAAACCGGTCGCGATTTTTTTTTCCGTACGAAACATTTGTATGAAACTTCACTCGGGCCATCTCGGATTGACTCGAGTGAGTACGATACGAGGAACAAGAGCAGACACTTCGCAATGTCGTGACGCTCGAGTTTTACTATTATTGCTCTTTCTATGTTTACCTACGGTTGGCCTATGAAATTTCACGGACTTATGTGATGTACGTCACTGTGTAACTAACTGTGACCTTCTTGGATGTTATTAAATGTTAGTATATTATCTGCAACAACAACAGCTAGTACCTCCTGTTATAAAGTGTAGATAGGTACAGTTATACCAAAGGCTAGAGAGAAAGAGGATAAACTATAGGCCTAACTACAGGCTGAGTTCTTACCTAGGCCCCTCCTTAAACTAGGCCTAGGGTCATAGGCTGACACAACATTCACGCTTCACATACTGACATGGACTGAAATTTTGGGGAAAAATGGGACAAAATTGAAGCATGAAATGAAAAATAGAGCGCATAAGAGAAATATTAAATAAATAATATACCATTCCGGCGTTATTGAACTTGTCCAAACTATCATTGTAATATAATTAATGTTAAATAATAATAATAATAATTTCAGCATTAATTACCTTTGGCCTAAGCCTTGTAATGAAGAACCTACAGATACTGTACTATTTACTAGGCCTATAAATAATAATCACCCAAGGGGAATATCTTGTGTTATTTCCCCTTAACGTCGTTTTTTAAATTGTTCTCTAATTCCTCCATTGTCCCCCTAAAGTACAGGTAATAATAATAATAATTAATAATAATAATAATAATTATAATAATAATACAGGTAATCATTTCAGCATATAATTACTTTGGCCTAAGGCTTGAAATGAAGAACCTACA